AGTCAAAAAGGACGTCCTGGATCTGATTCAACCAAGAGGAGCCTTTAAACTGGAAACAGGTTCTGGTTCCTGAGCAGCCATGTGAGCGTGGGCTGATGATGATCATCACACGACTCGCCTCAGGAGATTGATGGAAAACCTAACCCTGGATGAAGAACTGGGCAGCATGTTGATGCATCAAACTGCTGGTGTGGTCCAGGACGTGAACAGCTTCTGCCGTGCAGCTGAAGACCTAAACTGGAGCGAGATGAAACCTTCACAAACGAGCTCTAAAATCATGGAGTTAAAGTCTGTCCAGTACAAGTGCAGAAGTTGTTTGAACGGTGAACGAGCGCAGCGCTACAGATTTTAATCGCTGTAGACATTTTTAACGAGGGCCGCATTCCACTTCTGGTTATCTGCCGACCGTCCTCTGAATGGAACGCAGCCGTCAATCATACACCTGGACCTTTATCCAGAATCTGAAGATAGCAGAACATGGAGTCAGAGTGTGGACCTTAAGCCCTCAAGTGTTTGTTGAGACTCCATCTCCAGTGGATCTGGGAGGTTGTAGGTCTGAGCAGAACCAACTGGTCTTAGGTTCTGGGCTGTCCCTCCTGGTCAAAACTCAAAGATCTCAATTAAATTCTTGAGTTATTTTCCATGTCTCTGTTCGTGACGGCGAATCGTGTGGCTCTGATTTGACCCAGAAGAACCACAAAAAAAGTTTAATCATCATCTGGACAGTTTCTTCAAGGGAGAAACGTTTGGACTTCATCTGAAGGTCTTCGTCAGCCTGAGGCCTGCCACCAGGATCTGTCTCCTCGGTGTGCTGAAGCCAGCCTGCTGTGGAGGTCACATAACGATCTTTAAAGCCAACTCCTCAGGCTTCAAGCCTAAACCTTTATTTTGTGATTTATTTTTCTGGATGATTGAGCTTTCAAACCTTTGTTTGACCCAGAGGAACGTTCTGCAGAACACTCAGAGCAGCTGAGCAGCTTACTGTTACTCTGAACAAAACCCTTTGTGTTGACATGAAAGGGATCTGTGCTAACTGACGGAGCTCCTCAGGGGTGTGTCCCCTTTTACAGTGAAGACTTTCAGCCCTACTCCCAGGGTCTGCAGCTGGGTCTACACTTGGAGGATCAGTGGGAACGGACTTGGGTCAGATACTTTCACCTCGGATCGTATTTCTGCTCTGAAGACATGATTACTGCTCAGATCCATAAAATGTGCAGAAAGCACGGCTGCACAGGTTGTTGTGTTCCTGTGGGCTGCTGGGATGAGTTTCACACTTCCTGCTGTGGTTAGTAAACCCAGCAGCAGTCCAGATGTGGAGTTTCCTCTCAGCTAGTTCTCCTAATAAGGAAGCAGAAGCTGAGACTGACGTCTTCTGGGGGTTCTGGAAGCAGCTCGGACTTTAGTTTACCTCCATGTTTGTGTCAGGTTTCACTTTTATTCAGCTTTACTGCAGAGCTGCTGCTGCTGCGACAAAAGATACGAAACCCTCCTGTTGCCCTTGGGTCACAGGGACCCACAAGGCCTGAGTGGGTCACATGGACCCACAAGGCCTCAGTGGGTCGCATGGACCCACAAGGCCTCAGTGGGTCGCATGGACCCACAAGGCCTCAGTGGGTCGCA